TCCACTGAGCCATCTCCCCAGCCCCTAAATTATCAGTGTCAATGTTCTATGTTGGAGTGGACTTGCTTCTGATTCATGTGGCTTTTTCTTTAAACTTGGGTTTTTTTTTCTTTGCTTCTGATTCGTGTGGATTTTTCTTTAAATTCAGGTTGTTGGAAGAGGAGCCTTTGGAGTAGTTTGCAAAGCAAAGTGGAGAGCAAAAGATGTTGCTATTAAGCAAATAGAAAGCGAATCTGAGAGGAAAGCTTTTATTGTAGAGGTAAGTTGAGATGTTCTTTCTGCAATTCTTCACTTGAGGCACTGAGTTTAACCCTGAAAGGCATACCACTTCATTTGTCATTTCTCTATAAATGGCTTCAGCAGTTTTGTTGAGCCAGAGGTGGAGTGTAGGAACATTGTCATTCATATTTTTAATTCTGACTTAAAATTATGGGGAAACAGATTTCCTATATAAATGAATTCACCCTTGAAGTAATGTGTAGTCTCATCCATGGAATTTAAATCTATTTCAAGACATCATATTTTAATTTTGAAATGAAAAAGATGTGATATTCTTTCCCACTATCTAAAATTAAGATGGGAAATTCTATGCACACATTTTTAGTTGATTTTTTTTTAGAAGTTCAAGTGACATTAAGGAAAAATAAGTTCAGATTTGCTTTTTCCTTAGCGTGAATATTTATGGTTTTGTTCTTTCACTGATAGAATGCTGAAGGAAAATTCAATAAGATTGTTTTATCAGATTTATTCCTTATTTTATTAAATTTGTTTTACTCTATATTAGACCAGCATATTTGATCAAATCAACATTATATCACTTAAGTAGCTAAACTTACGTCTTGTGCCCTTCTGAATTTATATGCTTTCTTTTAATATAATTTTAAAATATACAGTATTTGGGCCAGTGGTATAGCACAACAGCACAGCACCTGCCTAGCAAGCACAAGGTCCTGAGTTCGATTCCTGGTCCCAAAACAATAATATAAAATAAAACAATGTGCTTCATACTTTTAATATATAACAGAAATGAAAACTTAATTGTGTTGTAGTAAAGTAATTTGACCTGGCTGCAGAGAACAACACTGCTGAATGGTTTAATGCCAAACTTCAATCCCCTGTATTTCCCCTTGCCTAATTTTCTGCTTCCCAGAGATAACTACTTAAAGTTTATCTCTTCCTTGGTGTTTGGTGTCCCCCAATCGAGCCACTGCTTTGTTATACCTTCTCTAAAGAGTCACTGTAGCCCCTGTCTGCTGAGGAGGCTCTAAGACAGTCATCAAGCTTGAAGTCAGGGAAGGGCTCCTTGCAGCCTTCAGCCACTCCCCCCAACTCCCCTACCCCCTGATTATTAAGTGCCTGATGCTATCATTCTGTTTCTTGTCTCTTGGAAGTTTTGAGTTAAATCTGGTTATTCTCAGTTTTTCCATTACAGTTTATGTTATAACTCACGTCTTCGGGGTCTACATTGTCAATTACTGCTACTATATAATTAACAGTAATTAGTGGTATTTTTCGGTCAAGATAAAAATTCCATAAATATTGGCTATAGAGGAATAAAGCATTATGTAGCATATAGTAAAAAAAGTGGACTTCATATGAGCTTGCAGTATAATGTAGGTAAAAGGAGGAAGAAGAGACAGGAAAAAGGAAAAAAAAAGAAGCAAGAAACAGCTTTTTTCAGGGAGGTGCACTAGTAGTAGAAGCCTGAGCTGTGGGGAATGGGAGAGGCGTATAGCTAAGCCACTCCCTGACCTCAGCGAGTCATTGGCTCAGGGAAGATTGAAACTGGAAGTGAGAGGACAAGCCAGGAGAAGGCCGCAGTAATTACTGCAGCAGTGCAGGTTAGAATTACTAAGGCAGCAGGAATGGAGAAGAGGAAATTAGTTCAAGACAGAAAATGAAATTGGAGCCAAGTATGCACAAAGAATACACATTTTGAAGTCATGCAGTCCAAGAAAGTTCAGACTCTCGCTGTAGGATTTTTCACAGCTCATTTAATTCTTTCTAAACCTTAACCTTTAGGTCTCATCTTTAAAATAAAAAAGGTAATGCCTATCTTTTAGAGCTAGGATAATTATAACAGCAGTGCCATACAGAGCGAGCAGACTCTTCTGCTGTACCTGCAGGTGACGACAGGAGCGTGGCTTTGGGCTTAGACCCAGTGCTGTGTCTGGATTATGTCTTAGTGTGGCTTCCTGATTACTTTCTTCCACGTATTACGCCTTCTTCATAGCTCCCATTCCAGCACTTTGCATATTGCTGTAATTATCTGTGTATGTGTCTGTCTTCGGAACAGTGATTCTCGGCCACTACGGTGAGGCATTTGTTTCTGGAGCCTGTGATTACAATGCTTACTCCATGGTAAGCAGTAATTGTTGAATGAGTTAAAAAAATACTTGGTATACAACCTTAATGATTTTAACAGTGTTCTGAAATCATCTCAAAAATGACGTTAAAAGCATCCCTAATTTGTTTACAGCTTCGGCAGTTGTCCCGTGTGAACCATCCTAATATTGTTAAGTTGTATGGAGCCTGCCTGAATCCAGTAAGTGTGACTTTTGTTGTGATCTGGAAGATGGAGACAGGAGTAGTTTGTGAAGCTGTTTTGATCTGCTGTCTTATATACATTTCTGAAAAGGTTGTATTTTATGCATTTAATTTGTTTCTAGTCTTCTAGCAAAGCAGTATATTGGAAAAATTGTTTTGGCTGATCTTATCCACAAACTTACCTTGTGAGGCTTTGGAAAACTTGAGAATGTCTATGTATCAGCACTGAAGAAGGTCCCCAAAAACCTTGTGATTATGTTTTTAATGTGTAATTCCACTCGTAGTGCTTCTAGAAGACAAGATCTAGGGTCATAGACACCTGTCTTTTTTTTTTTTTTTTTTTTTTTTTTTTTTTTTTTTTTTTGCCTATAATGTGTTTCACATAAATAGAGCCCAAAAGAGTAATTTTTAATGCATCTTTAAAATTAAGAGATTAAAATAATTATGTCACCTTCTGGGCCCCTAAGCTGCTATAGGCCCAGAGCTGCTGTAGGCCCCTAAGCTGTCACCTTCTGGGCCCCAGCTAATTCTTCTGGCACGCATTTCTTTTAGGTGTGTCTTGTGATGGAATATGCTGAAGGGGGCTCTTTATATAATGGTGAGTATCATTATATCTTTAAATAGTAGATACAGTCTGAAAGCTTTGAATATAAACTGTAGGCAACTTAATGTCTTTTACCATTTACCAGCAGAATTCCAAAAGAAACTTTTTAAAGGTTAAAATTAAAACATAAGGTGCTACCTTGGTACATGAAATTTAGAAGTCTTAACAATTTTTTAAATTACGATAAAAAGCACTTGAAGTAAATTTTGCTGTTTCAATAGATTTTAAAATACCTTCAGAAGTTTTTACTTTGTGCCTCCTTTTAACATTGAGCCTCCTCACTTTAGAGCTAACCATGCTTCCCCATCACTCTGCTTACTTTAAAAAAAAATCCTAAAAAGTCAATTCACTAATCACTTTAATTGTAACAATTACAGTTTTGTGTATCACATATTACATATTTATTCCACAGATTTTTCACCTTAAATGTATCAACCATATATAAGTATAATCTATTTTAGTAAGTTACATTTATTTTTAAAGTAATATTTTATGTAAATTTTTGCCTATGCCTGTGTTTCTTATTGTTGATGGGTACCTAATACTCCATTGTTTTGTTGTGTTGAATTACAAGTTTTAACTAGTAATATAGTTATAAGCATCTTGTTGTGCCGATTCTTGTTTCTGTATTTTTGCTCCATGATGCAGATATTCATAATTTTTATTTTTGTGGAAAGCTATTAATTTGAAAAATGTGATACTGTATATTTTTACTTGGATGTATGAATAATATTCAATAGAGATCCTTTTCAAGATTAAATACTTAGATAACAGTTATCTACTCAACATTATTAGATATTTTCAACTTGTTCATTTAGAAACAAAAGGAGGACTAATGGGAACATATGTAGACAAATGCCCACTCCTGTTGTATTAGTGCTTGTACTCCACATTGCTTCTTTTATATGCAATAAAATTCTTTTTAGTTTGTGCCTTTCTTTCGTAGTGCTGCATGGTGCCGAACCATTGCCGTATTACACTGCTGCCCATGCGATGAGCTGGTGTTTGCAGTGTTCCCAGGGAGTGGCTTATCTACACAGCATGCAACCCAAAGCTCTAATTCACAGAGACCTGAAACCACCAAAGTAAGTTTCGTGTGTGTGTGTGTGTGTGTGTGTGTGCACGCGCGGCATGCTCATACACCAAGAATCTAACTCAGGCCCTCATGCTTGCCAGGCGAGCACCGAGCCCCTGAGCTTTACCCCTAGCCCAGTAAGTTCTGTCATGTGACATCCGGCTTCCCACCCTCTGATCTTTTGCCTACTTCCCCCCCCCCCATTCAAGGTAATTATGGCCCAGGAGCTTCTCTTTTCTCTTCCCTTTTGGTTTATTCAAGAATATTTATTTTTCATCCCCTTTCATCATTTAGTTATCTGAGCTTACATTTTAGGATGTTGTTTTTATGGAGGATTTTTATTTTTAATAACTCCTACCTTAGGTACTGGATGTCATGCGGGTCCCACCCCTGGGCCTGCTGAGCTGGCCACCAAGTCTCCAGGCATGGGGACACACGCCTGTAAGCCCAGCACTGGCGAGGCTGAAAACAGGAGGATCATTATGAGTCTGAGCTGCATAGTGAGACCCTATACAAAATACATTGTTAAAATTTATTTTTAAAACAACTCCTGCTTTAGATTATTATAATTTTGGAATATTAGCTGGAAGATCTTACTTTGCACCAACAGTATCTTGCTACTAGCATTAGTTTTTTGAGAGCAAAAGAAGTCTGACTTACTGTCCTAGCAACTAGCACAGTATTCATACGTGGTAGATATTCTGCAAAACTTTGTAGAGTGATATTACTTGTCTTTTTAGGGGAAAACAAACACTTTCTGTCAGGTGAATAGAAACTGAAAATATTCCCAGATTTCTCCATATTAAGAATCCTTTGAAGTGAAAGAACTTTACAGTTCCTTAAAAAGCTAAAGCTAGCACCTGTGGTGTTGGGAATATAGTTCAGCAGCATAGCGCCTGCATTACAAGCCGAAGGTCCTGAGTTCAGTCACTAGCACCAGAAAAAAAACAAACCTAGAACCAAGGGATGTAGCTCAGTGATAGAGCATGTGCATGACATACTGTAGTTCTGGATTCAATCCCTGGTACCAAAAAAGAAAAAAAGAAAGGATATATGAGAAATGTATTCTTCCTTTTTTTCTTCTTTACTCAGATGTGAACAGAAATGCCTTCACATACCTTCTTGCCTCTACTGTCCCGTCAGTCTTCAGCTAGGAGATTTTGCACTCACAGAGTAATAGTACTGTCATAAATTATTCTATCCTCTTATTTATTTATTTATTTATTTATTTATTTATTAATGTATTTGGTTGTTGCAGGGTCTCAGTGCCTAGCTTGGACTCTTAGTGATCCTCCTACTTTCAGCCTCCCCGCACTGGGGTTACGGGTCTGTGCCACTGCGCCCGGACTCTGGCCAGCTCAGCCCACCACAGGGGCAGGGCTTGAACCGTGGTCCCAGCACCTGCCTAAGTGCCTAAGCAGGCGCTTCAGGCCACTGTACCTCATCAACCCCTGTTCCATCCTCCTGATACTGATTTAAAGCATCCTTTCTGGATCTCATTTTCACATCTAATCTGATACATTCTACATAGGCTTCAAATTTTAGAATCTAATTGTTAGTACTAAATAACATTTCTTTTCAGCTTCCAGCCTAAAGTGATTTCTATTTTACAAATCCCTGATAAAATAACACTTAAGCTCTAAAATGTATTTTTATTTTTGTCTATAAAGATAATTTAAATTTAGTTTTCAGTGAGCCTTCATTGTCGTGCTTAGGGTTGGTAGAAATCCCATGAATAAGGAAACACTAATGTGAAAGTTACTCAAAACACAATTGTGCTGTAGTAAATTGATGTACTAGGTTGAAACGAGGAAACCAGTTACAGAGTACTTATAATTGTCTTGAGTGAAGAGTAGGAATTTGAACAAGAACAATGGGACAGGAGAACAAGTTTTTTGTTGAATTATATTTAGAGACAAATTGCATTAAGTATTTTTTTTTCACTTCAATTATCGTAGAAGTATTTTTGGTAGTATGAAAATGTGAATAGCAGTTTATCTAATTTATCTTTCTGACATTAGACTAAAAGAGAGCTGATTTTCAAAATTTCTCCAGTTAGAATTAAAGTGCAAAACTTATATGAAAAGTTTATACAACTTATGATAAAGTAAGCCTCCATGTGCTGACTGCCATGCTACTACAGTGACTATGCAAATTATATTACCTATCTCTAGTTCTGCTTGTCAAGAAAAGCAAAATCTTCTAAGGAAAGATATACTACTTGGTAAATATAGTTGGGTAATAACACGGACTCTTAAGTTCAGAAAAGTTTCAAGAAATCTTTCATTAGATCATTTTTTTTTTTTAAAAAATGATCTAATGAAAGATTAGATCATTTACTGGAGAGACATACCTCTTCATAGGTATATTATCCAATATACTAACACGGGAGAGATCACATCCCCTTGTTTACGGATACATTAATATTCCTTACCCTGCCCGGCCTTCAAAACATAATAGTATACAAAATATAAAGTATCTTAAATATTATAAAAATTGCAAAAAAAAATAGAACGTATGAAAATATTTTTATCCATGTTTTCCCTCCTTGTTGAGAGGCAGCCTAGTTCACCTTGAGTTCGTAACTGTTAAGTGGGTAGGAATATGCCCTGCCTAATAATATTCTGTCCCGGAGGAGCTTAAATAAAACATAGTAGTTGCAGAAGAGGATAAGCACCATAGAAAGTGTGTGGTTCCACTTCTCCGACCGCAGCAAGTAATAGAGCTGGTAGAAGACAACACTTCCTTCAGTAAGGATAAGTAGATTTAACAGCCTTAATGGA